GGAGGAACTCACCAGAATTAACAAGACAAAAACCTGTTGCATCAGCGAAGACGAATGGGGCCACTTCGGGCTGCATGTCATTACAGCACACTGATCTATATTAATTTATCACGAGCGCAAACAAACTACGGCCTGATACTATATGATCAGTTAGACTAGATGTCAGTAATAACTACGGTGATTAATCTCAATTCCCTTCTACCAGCCCTTCGTCAAAATCTCTCGTAAAGTAAAATTTGAACATTAAAATATAACCCTATCTAACGCTGGCCTTGTAATCCCGGGGTCTCGGGTTCGATTGCCGGCGGTGCCCGAATTTATAACTTGTGTTGGGCAAGGCCGTGGTCTAGGCATCACGAAGTTTTCCTCCGGGGGCTTCCCCGGTTTCTCCGTGGCATCCCATTCACACACAGAAGAAGGCAATGGCAAACCACTTCTGGATCATCTGCCAAGAACGTATATGAACAGGTCCCAGTCCGAGAAAAGGATGGAAGGATCCTGTTCATATGGACCTGTCGTCAGACACAACACTAAATAAATAATAAATCTATAAGTAAACTCCATAATGTTAACTTTCCATTTGCCCTTCCACCGATCTACGTAAAGGTGTCGTTAAAAAATTAATTGTCATATGTAATCTATTTTTTGTTAGTTCCATTTAAATTGACACCCATAAACCAAACAACATTCTTATTACTTATATACGATTCTAATTACATTTATGATCATGTTCACAGATTACAACGTGAACCTAGGGAAGTGTAAGGTTCTGCATATGTACGCAAAAATAGATCAAGATGATAACTTAAAACATTATGCTCATACTCAGCACGAAAGTCTTTCAACTTCTCTCATGTAGACAGCAGCCATTCAGAAGCACTCTTTACGAAGCAATATAAAACTTCCAAGCATTCAATAAAATATTCTCGGGTTATCTGCCGACTTACGTCTCCGCGAAATCATTATTGCTGCATTTTCTTTGTCAGCCTGTCAAGCACCATCTGCGATTCTGCCTGAATCTCTTCTATCGTCTCAAATCTCCTTCCCTTTAGCTGAATTTTCATCTTTGGGAAGAGGAAGAAGTCACACGGAGCTTAGAAAGGAAGTTGGGGTCGGTTCTTGCAAGATCTTTGAGCTCCTGACAAACGAGAAGTCGATTCTGCTTCTGGTCCTCAGACAGGATGCGTCGCATGTGGAGTTCTTCCTTTAGAATCAGCTGACAGGTCCCATAGCCTATCCCAACAATGTCGCACAAGTCGTTGATGGTACGACGTCGATCGTCGTGAATGGCCTGCCGTATCTTCGTAACATTTTCGGGCGTTGTGCTCGAAGATGGTCGTCCAGAACGCTCGTCATCATCGACAGAGGTTCGGCCGGCCCTTTTTAAAACGTGAATGCCACACAAAAGTTTGCGGACTCCCCAAATGTTTGCTTTAGCATTTCATAGGTTTCCTTAGCCGTTTTGGCGAGTCTTTGGCAAAATTTGATGCACACGCGCCATTCCGAAATCGCAGGAGGGTCGGTGTAATGCACTACCAAAACGCCCGTAACTAAGAAACAAATGCTAATTCGATGATGCCGGCTGGCACACTGATTCACTATGAATGTAGGCCGCACCCCCTAGCGGCAGAAGCTCGTACTACATCCGGTTCGCCCTCTATTGACACAGTCTTGAAACTTTCCGATCGCACCTCGTAGCATGCTTAAAATTGGTAATATTATAAGACATGGTTACTGGAATGATATTAATCTTAAATTACAAATTATTTTTCTTTTTTTTTAATTTCATACTTTAATGTGCACGATTTTTTAATATTAACGACGCGCACAATTAACTACGTAGCGGATAACTATGGTGGTTTCTGATTAAGACCGCTTCTTATACATAAATCTGAACTATGCAGTAAGTCAATAAACGAGACAACTATTAGCTACTCAGTACGACACACAATTATTAAATTAATAATTCAATTCGTCAGGTTGTCAGGCAGCTTCTCGACAAGTCATTTAGTCTACTGATCAATCGGTTACTTTGTTAGTAAGTCAGATGGTGAGTAATTTCGTCAATTAGGAATGTGTCGTCACAGAATTGAATCCAGCTGATGCAAAAGTGTTAGTAATGCCGCTTTAGAGAAAAAAATATATATGAAAAGTTTAGCAGTCATAACGATTTCGCTTAATGAGATGTCTGGGAATTGTGTAGCAGATTGTCGGTGGTACAGCTGAATTTAAAATGTTTTCAAACGAATGTTTCATTGAAATTAAATCCCAGTGGCATTCGTCCGTGAAGTAGTTACTTAATGAGGCGCCTGAATGCGACAGAAAAATCTCTGAATATACAAAACTCACAGCTAGAAATCGGGAAGACCATTCATGCGCTTTGCTATTATACTTCTGTGGAGTTAATATAAACACGTGCAAGGCAGCCGGTCCAAAAAGCTGGGAAACCTGGTTCACAATGAGCCGACGGTTGTAGCAGAAAGTATACGAAATTGTGAACATCGATCATTAACACTTAACATTGTCACTTTATGCGTATTACCTCATCTATTTCATAATCATAAAAGATGTCTCAAAATACGAAAACACAACACGAAATAATAATTTTTGGGACATCCTGTAGCTCTACTGTTAGACACTAAGGCATATCATAATATAACCAGTGCAGTCGGATCGATTTTGAAATAGAAATGGTTAAAAAAAATCATATAAATTGTTTCATCCAATAAGGACAGGACTGAACACAAACTTTTGAATGTCTGCTTTCTCATTTCCCTTCTTAGTTGCGATATTGTTGTGTTTCATTCTCGAAATTTCATTTACATACAGACTTCCTCTGTTAGGGTCGTCTTTTATCATTGTCGCAAGACTTCTGCTAATGGAATGGTTTTTTCTATAAACATCCAGATGTCGCCTTTGTCCCGACTACTTTATCCCCCCCACCCCTTAATTATTCCCGTTTTGGTTCAAACCCCTTCTCAATCCAACCCCATCTTTCTTCCATTTTTTATTCTTGAATATAACTACCAACAAATAAGATGTAGAACATTAGCTGGATTAATTTACTCGGGATATGAATTCTTCGTAATAAAAATACTGCAATTCAAAAAGCAGGATGTTCAAAACACAGCCCTAAAAATACTGCAATTCAAAAAGCAGGATGTTCAAAACACAGCCCTAAAAATACTGCAATTCAAAAAGCAGCATGTTCAGCTGTTATTACGTAATGATACAAGCCTTTATCAATTATAATTTCTGGTACACAGTATAAATAACTGAAATCTCAAAAACAAATAATTAACCAAATAGATAAAATAATTTCTTCAACAACGATGGGCTTTCGGTGTCCCTTTTCTTGTATTCTATTGTCGAGGTTATGAGTGAGCAGGAACTATACTACCTCCCCCACACACACACGCCCACATGGCGTACAGTGAGACAGCATTACTTTTATTTTACTCTTGTATTTGCCGTCTTAATTTACCATGCCTACAACTCCATAAGGAAGTCAAATTGGACCACTCCAGATTTGGCATAACGCGTGGCCGTCACTTCCAGAACTTAGGATATCGCGGCAGACACAGAGGCCAAAAAAGTTGTCCATCGCTTACACTCCGAGCATGAGGAACACATAATAATGATATTTTATGACTGTTCGCATAACTTGTCTAAAATGTACAGCGTATTCAATCAAACTTCTAAAACTACTCATCCTCTTTAGACTGGGGATCAGCCATCCCCAAAGCCTCTACCTACAGAAGACAGCATAACACGTAAACGGCGGAAAACACGTCTCGCGGACGGGATTCAAACCCAAAATCCCAATTCTCGAATGGTCCAAAGACAGTTCACCGAGTGGCAACTGGGATCGGAGTATGAATGAATACGAACATGAGGAATGAACCTCAGATGTGATCAAATTCACTTCATTTGACGTTGATTTAACTGCATTTAAGTTTAGAAGAAGAAAAACACACCCCAAACACCCTCGAACTACGCGGTGAGTAACATATTTCCCGAACTTTTGACAGTCATGGGATGCTACCACGTTCTAGGGAGGGGTCCCACATAAATCTAGTCACACTCCCAGATTTCTCTAGGTTTCTTTTCGGGACCTGGGAATACAACCCAATACTTCATACAGATCTGGACAGTTTAAAAAAAACCCTCTCATGCCTTGGCTCTCCATTAGCAAATAAAGAAAGTGAGACAAAAGGAGAAACAAATAGCTGAAAGAAACATGATACTAGACTCTACATTATTAACTAAAACACTAGAAACTATGTACAATACAAGATACACTTAGCATTAATAGTCTGCAATTATTTACTGTATTTCCAGTGCTGTTTCACGGTGCAAACGATTACAAAACTGGAGAACGAAAGCCTGATACAATTTATATAATAATTCGTGGCATGCGTGTTTAACAGTTTGCAATGTCCAATAACTGGGTATACAACATTAACTCTCACCACTCATATTTCTCACAATAAAGCAGCTCTTTGAAGCAGAAACTTCCACGTATGTAAACAGTTCATCGTGAAGTCAGAAAATTACGAACGAAGCCATGCAGATACAACGAAAACGCTGTGCTTGTTCCACACTACTGACACAACGGGACGCATCAATGCTATACCTAACCACGCTGGTTAAGCAGACATGCAAGCGAAGGGCAAACAAGGACAAAGAAACGTATTCCATGTAAGCATGTGCTCGTGTCGCTTCGCAGTCTACGACGTACGTTCATGTTGTATTTTGCGTCGTTCCTCATTTATCAGAGAATGCTTGTGTTCGTGTTTGGCTGTTATAAACCAGCTCTGTGTACATTAACATAGCTACTCAGTAATATAATTGTAGTCAACCGAAATTACTTTTCTTGCCGACTTCAACTTGAAGACCACTTACAATGCAAAGTCACGTGCGCGTACGAATATAGTTTGCCTTTCACAGCCACAATTGTTCTCCATGTCACATTCATAAATAAAAAATGCATCACTTACCATGTACTGCTTAATGTAAGTAACAAGAAATTACAGCCCATCACCAAAATTGGAAACGCCAACACAAATCACAGTTTAAAATATCACACGAATTATCTGTCACACTAGAGCAAACACGCCATCACGGTTCTAACTTTCATACTAACTTCCTTCCGTCAGATCGATAAGTCGAAAAGATAATACTAAATAAAGAAATCCTAAAACAAACTAATCGGTCATTTGAGAAAGAAAAGTTATTGTAAAACGAGAAGAAAAATACGTTCCACCAGCTTGTAACACAAGTACATTTGTAAAAATAGTTTAATTTTCTGCACCACGTTCTGAAATTGCTACTGAATCTTCCGGTAGTGTTGCCACCGTTGTTCAATTTGCTTTCCTACACCTATTGCAGTTGCCCATCGGTAAAATAATTTCAGAACATTGGCGACTTTGTTTTCCGAATGAGTTTGTCTTCGGAGTTGAGGTCGATATAACACTCCAACTTCTTTTTCGGCAGAACGGTCGACGACGCGTATAACGTCCATAATACCAATTTTTAAACTCTTGCCAACTGTTCTTAATAACAGGAAGATCACCAGTCTTTCTCCCTCCCACTTTCCTGTTGTAATAACTAATATAAAAAAGCAGTTTCAGTGATATCCTCGTTAACAGATCTATGGAATGTAAATAAATTGTTCTATTCATTACTCAGTGTAAATGGCAGGGACAGACTTACATGCTTCCACACATGCAAACTACAAAAGATATATATATATGGGCCTCTGTACCTGTCCACTAGAATAGTTAGGTTAGGGCCTCTACAAATGCTTATTACACAGTCCACTGAAGTTGATGGATAAAACCATACAAAATACTTAGTTTGCATGATTTTGTGCTTATTTTACAAAAGGCTGGATATAATATCACATTAAACCCAATCCTGGAAGTCTTGGTTTTGAAACTCTAAATGCATGAAATGGAAGAACATGAAAAATGTACAAAAAGACATTGATTTTATGTATAAGGTGACACTTCCTAGCTGTATTTGATTAGGTTCATAAATGGCACACTTACAAAGAAATTTTATATCCTTTTAATACAACTTCAATCCACTTTTACAGTATCATTATTGCCATATAAACTTCACAAAAATGTATAAATACGTACTGGTGATGTGGTGCTGTTTCATAAACAAAAATGGTGATGTTGCATTTCAAAGAACTGCGCATAAGCCTTTGATACGCAGTCCTTTCAGTGTTTTAACTCCACATAAGTATACTGAACATCATAAAATTTTGTGAACTGAAATCTGCAATTTACGTCTTGTGAATTGAGCCAGATAACGATCAATCGACCACATTCTGAACCTTTATGTGCCATGCATCACAACATATGCGCAGTACAGCTGGCCATGATTTGCAGCAGCACACAACTCAACTGTAACCCCTGAAGCTGAAGTCCATTTAGTAACCCTGTAGGGTAGCTCATACCAACATCAGAACACTTGTGAATGAGTTTCTCTTACCACTTACCTTAGAAGTCCGAATGCTTTTCTACTGCGCCCAACTCTTTCTCAAGTTATCAGTTTTGGCGTCCCAACTGTTCTTACACCCATATCTAATACTGAAGCAACAGTAAGATTTCAAACTGACAGCAATTTGGATGTAGTAGTGAAACGACGGCTGTAAACATATCAGATTACTGTGGACAAAGGACTGTGTAGGAAAATAGATTCTGAGACAGAGTCAAGCTCGCCGAGCCAGACTCGTACGTGGATGGGCCGCTTAAGTGAGCTATCACAGTTCCTCCTCATGCAATAAGGAGACTTCTGGCATCTGGGTTCACAGTTACTCTCAACTATAGACTCAAAAACTACCACAATAACAATCACTAATTTTTTGCAAACTGTATAAAATGCTACTACCTATCTGCCACAATGCAACAATTTCTCTATAACTCACCATAATTGCCATGAATCAGTCACAACAGTTCACAAGACGCAAAAAGAAATTATACAATTTTACAATATATGACACTTCAGAATGATTAATTTAAATTACCAGAAACATTAAAAGAGATGAAGTACGCACACACCTGATACCGCAGCAACCAGCTGACATGGCAATTTTCTGTATTTCCTGTACTCATGAGCTACTACTATATTTTACATTTAAACTTCAGAGCTGCCACATCATTAGGTCACTGTAGCTATAAGATATAACCCAGAGACAATGGATTTAGCCAATTAAAACGGGAACATCCCTTTATCACATCCATATAATTCAAAAACCCTTCCAAACCGGACAGCAACACCAGAAAGCTTTCTCACACACTCATAGAGGCATAGTGAATTAAAACTGTGCATGAAAAGATCAAAAAGTAAGAAGATTTCTGTCTTCTGGGTTGTTGCGCTGTGTAGTCTGGTCGATGTTTACCAACATTTCAGAGGTCATGCTGCCTCCGTCATCAGGTTGATGAATATTCATATGACCTCTGAAGCGTTGGTTGACACTGACCAGACTACACAGCGCAAAAACCCAGAAGACAGAAATCTTCTTACTCACCGCTGTGAAAACCTCAAATCTTACTTCAAAAAGTAACATACACATTTTTCATTTAAAGTAAAATTTAGCAGAAGCTACCTCTATATTTCGAGCTGGAGTAGCTCAGACCATACAGTGTCTGACTACAGACTGGACAACTGAGGCCCAGTCCCCAACAGGGGCAAAGCATATTTTTTCTAACCTCTGAATCCAGACCGGCTCTGGGGCCCACCCAGTCTATCTAATGGGTACCTAGAGTCCTCTCTCCAGGGGTAAAGTGGAGCCAGGGCATTATGTTGACTACTCACCCCCCATCTAGTGCCGAGTCAAAAACAAGTAGGAGCAATACCTCCTCTCCCCATGCACATCTGTGGAATGTAATGAGACAGCTTTACTTTACCTCATTATTTCATTTTATGCTCAAGTTCAACAGTCTGAGGCGTGGGCCTTGTGCTGCTTGGTCACTGGGACCGTAGGTTCGAATCCCACTCAAGCCATTGATGTTTGTCCGCGTTTTTCTGTTTTGTGCTGTCCTGTGTACAGGTAGAGGCCTTGCGACGGGCCGATCCCTCGTCCAAGGAGTCCTACCGAATGTCTATAGATCAAGCCAACGAAAAGTTGGGACCCGCAGTGCTCAGGCACTTGAAGAACGTGTCGTCAAAGAATCCCAGTTCAAGAGTCAGAGATTCAACAAAATGTGATTGCTTGTATGTCTGAGTTCATATGGACAGTGAATATCCATAAATGCAAATCTGATACTACAGAATTTCGCAGACGACATTCGCAATTATGACACACCTTTTACGGGCATGTAACATGTACGAACAAAACTGTACAGACAGATCTGCAATCTCTGCAGCACACCAATGAATAAATCCATTGTCTCCTTCAACTCATTTACTGGGCCGGTAGAAACTACCGTCTGTGGACTACAAGTTGGAATGTAACAGCTACCGTCAAGTAGTTCATACGCAGTATTTAGTGTAAATACCTGCAGTCTGGAATATCCAGGAGAGAGAGAGTGAGGAACGAAGGGATTAGAGAAATCATGAGGGTGGATCGAGATATAATAGAGATAGAGAGAAGACAACTGATTTGGTATGGACACGTGCTAAGGATGGAGGAGGAAAGGTTACCAAAATGACTATGAAATGACAACCTAAAGAGAGAAGGAAGAGAGGAAGACCGAGACCAGGATGGAATGACGAAATTACAAGAATCATGATACAGCGGAAACTACCTCAGGAAGAATGGGAAAATAGAGAAGAATGGAAGAAAATATTAGGCACCGGAAGACCGAAGTAACGGTCAATAAACGGTAGAAGAAGAAAGAAGAATGCCTGGAGTCTGTTGACAAGTGGGCAAGAATACTTTACTAACTAGTATCTAGAGAAGGCACCATTCACAGGCTTATAAATTCAGAAAAACTACAGCATCTCTACAGTCACACATAACAGAAGAGGCCATCTTAGTAATAACATGTTGAGCAGGGCCAGACAGGAGAATGGTCAATGAAAGTCCCCAAAGTTATGAATATTAAACTTAAAAACAAACATACGTACATATGAACATCATTATCTTACCGTAATACTTCAATAATATTGTCATATAAATAATTCATAGGTATGTACCAGTCAATACTTTAAGGAACTATTTACCATCAACCTCTTTACCCTCAAAAGTACCCACAAGCCCCATTCAAAATCTTGAGAAAAAGCAACTTCTACCATTTCATCCTCTGAAAAATTAAATCTGCTTCCCAAGAAGAAAAATCACTTCCAGTAAATACGCTAGTATTCAAGTAAATAGCAATAATAAATATCTGCTTTTAAGTTTCATAGTTTCATCATCAGTATTACGGCTTTCTTTCTAAAATTATTTATTCAAAATTAATTACGGGTTAAACGGGCAACTGTAGGCTGGCTTGGGAAACTACCCACAAATACAGCATAGTATCTATCGAGTCAAAACTTCAAATAAACTTCTGAAATGCAACTCATTCATAACTTGGGGACTTTCCTGCATTATTTCACAAAAAAATATATATATATATATCCCTTGACTACGAAGTTTATAGCATAAACTTCATTTTGCCTACATTTCTGTAAGGTTATCTAACAGAACACAAATGTTCAAAACTGAAAACAGAACATAAAACAAATATCAACACATGACTTAAGTACCTTAGTAAACCACCAGGAGACACTTGAAGCTGCTATACGGAATGCGACAAGTTATGTTGGCCCTGTGACATTCTAATATACATCTGTTCTAAACATAAAACAGCAATTTCCTGCCCCACGATGCAATTCATTACATACAAGTGTTAAAATTAAAAGCGTCGCAGAACATTCTGACTCACGGAATCAAACCTGTCACATGGGTACACCCTGTTTGAAGCAGGGAAGAAATGTATTGCACTCGTTACAAAAACAATAATAGATGTTCATCCTGTAACAAAATGTCCACAAAAGAACTACTCAGTAATTGATTCATTATAAGAATACTACGTTAGACAATGTTCACTGTCTGAGGTGTACTTCATATACATGGCATTTCAAGAGTTGGGAGTACTCACATCTTCAAGTGGCAAACATCTTCCTTTTTACGGTGCAAGGTTGTTAGCCTTGCGACCAACCCCCAACCTGGAGGACCAGGGTACCTGTCTTAGTCTGACCTCTCCCCCGAGGGAGGCCCTACCAGTAGCTACGCTACCGCCAGCATAGCGGCTAGCTGCCATTATAATTATACATTTCCTATCACCTGCCCCCATTTTAATTATTCTTAGTGACAGCGGCTGGGATCGAACCCAGTACCTTTTGAAAATTAGGCTACTACACTAACCACTAGATCATAACCAATCACCCAAAGACATAAGCAGAGTTAACTCCTGAAGTGTCTTGCATACCAAGTAAGTCTCAGACGACGGACAAGGTCCAACAAGGTCAAGAATTGCCCAAGTTCGAGCAGACATAAAAAATGAGAAATTTCTTTTTACCAAATAATTGTTAATAACCAAGATACTAATATGAGACACCTTGCTTTCAGCAGTTATAGAATAAATGAATAGGAATGTATAAGATGGAAAAACTCCATGGCACATAACTAAAATATTTGTTAAGAGACTGCTATTTCGCAAAACCTGTTCTTTGACGGAATAAAATCGGAGTTAATAAGTTCTCATTAAATCTTCAAACAAATCGCATAATGGCCGATTAATCTAAAGAGTTGGAGGGCAAAAAAAAAAGGTTTCTTTGTAAGACACCACATACAGAGGTGCCAACATTAATATCTAATCTAGATCATTTGTCAGCGATCTAACAACAGTGATATTTGAAATCTCTCCCTTGTAAAAATGTAAGGAGTCATAGGGAAAGTACGCAAAGTTTTCTCTCCCATACGCTGAATTATTTAACGATATTTTTGCAGAGTAAATAAAAAGTGTGTGGTAAGAGTTAATACAATAAACTTTACAAACTGCGTGGACACATTATCTTCAGGTACTCTAACTGGTTCATATTTTACCTGATCATTTTACCAGGAACCGTGACCTACTGCGGACACTTCGTACACCACACAAATATTGCTGTTGCTAAAATTAAATGAACACGTCACCCGAAGACAAACATCAAAATTCCGAGGCCTTTATACTCGCAAGAACGAACACTGTACCTAAATGTGCCAACGTTAACACTTTAGAAAATAGTACATGTCGACGTGACCATTTGGCGCGTGCTGACGTACCCCTCTATAAAACGGTGCGTGACATGATCACATGAGAGGGAGACCACGGAAACGACGGATAGATGACGTGGAGGAGGATGTGAGGACAATGGGAGTGAGGGGATGGAAAAGAATTGAGAATGATAGGGCAGAATGGAAAAAACTCGTCGAACAAGCCAAGACACACATAGGGTTATAACGCTACAAGACATGATCAACTTGTTATGAAGTACAACATAATGCAGCATACAAGAAAATTTGTACAGGTCTTGCGCTGCATTCTGGACATCTAAAAGCGCCACATATGCAGTTTCTCTAATATTGCTAAGGTTACTGCACGCCCCCAAAACCCGACCTGTCTCTCCAGGAGACCGAAGTCTATCGAGAATAAGTGAATATTTCCATAAACAAAAGCCCTGAGTGGATATATAACAGATTAAAACAACTTAATACATGAAACTGAGATGCCACGTCTCATTTTATACAGTAAATCACTTCTGTATTTTTAATCAAATTTTGGTGCCAAATTAACACATATCACAAATTAATTATTCTAGTATAACTGTCGACGCTCATATGACACATTAACTTAAAGGATGGATAAAAATCAGCGTACTACGTGCACAGAAATTTTATTCTAGGACCACGTGCTATCATATTGGATTTATTAAAATTAGCCAGAAATTTAATGATTCGTTCAAAAGTTACATTTCCTCTATTTACGTTAAAGTCGCTGCACATTTGTCACGAACGGGCGGAGAAGGGCTCCAATGTGATATTCTCGACAATGTACAGCCAGAGGACTTTTCAATTTTGAATATAAAAGAAACAAAATTATTTATATAATGTTTAATATCTTAAGCACATTAATTTTGGGGGTGAAATACCGCATAAAACGCAGAAGAGAAAACATAACTCGAAAGTGAAAATTAACTTCTCACATGTTTAAAAAAGAGAAATTGCAATTAGTGTGAAAAATTACAAGTCGGTGAAAGTAATAGAATAGGACAGAAAATAGAAAGCTGCAGTGGCATGAGAGGGAGGAGACAAGCTGCCAAAACGACTCGTTCAATGAACATGACGACGTAGGAAAGGAAGAGGGACAGAAAATAATAGGCACAAGAAACAGGCAACTCAAAATTGAGATAGAAAAACCCCAAGAAGGAAAAATACACAAACGATATAACAGAATTAACGGCATGGAAAATTTGATCTCCATCAAATGTGCAACACATGATTCTAATGTGAGACGTAGAACTAAACAATTTATATGAGATCAGCAACCAACCCATTTTTAGCAAAATATGTAATAATTCAGCACCAATTTAACGCAATCATATTTCCAAATATGACTTACTACGCTGCTGACTGTGTGGTCCTCAATAGCTGTCGCGGCATACAAACTGTGTTACTTGGCCATTGTCACGACAGCCCACTTCAAAAGCTTCGCTCATACCCAACACACACCCTGAATTGTGGCTAAAATACAGGAGGCGATAAGGTCCAGTCACCCGAACAGCCGTATCTGGGAATACCACCTTCTTCACCATGGAGTTTCTGTTTCCACTGACACTCCCCCTAGCAGCATACACATAGCACAGGTAGTCGTCCAGACTTGTAAACCCATCCTACAAACATAGTCATAATTTTAAAACAATTATCTTCAGTATTTTACAATTATTACCCAGCTTTCTAAATGACGGCCGGACTACAGAAGTACATCTTGTGGCATAATGGCATGCCTAGAGGGACTGAGGAACACCACAAAAACCCTCAGCTAAGATGGTCAGTTTGTGGGATGATAACCATTTGGTTCAGACAATGAAGTAACTGAAATCCACTGAGAAGTTTTGGAGGTGAAATGTGTAGACATTAGACCCTACCTATTACGCACCAATCCCACACAAATACTGCATTAAATATCAATGTTTAAACCAACTTCAATTAACAGGTAACTAATGAATCTATTTTAACCTTATCTTCTTCGTTCCAGAGAAAATTAGAATTCAAGAAGTGGTTGGCAGCATTGTAAAACGTGTGGTAAGACAAAGTTGGCAATCTCATCGCTTTAGTATAGTCTTCAGAGCAATGCGCCAAGATGACCGACTTTCAAACACTTTCAAACACTTACTACCTCCTTCTTCAGGGTAAATATGAGAAAAATGTTACATCAGAGGGGTTACACAAGAATATAAGAGACCATAAACATTTTTTAATCGGTCCAGAACGTAGCAAATATTTACTAACAGTGAAGACGGCTGTCTTCTGGTTTGGAGTATCATGTAGTCTGGTAGAAAGTTACCAATATTTCAGAGGTACCACTGCACTGATAAAAGAGGCACCAGGTAAACTTCTACCGTGAAAACCTCAAATCCCAATTACAAACTGCAATTAGTTAGAACTGTGTAAACATAAATGTGGTATATCGTAACATCCAATGATCGCATACACAACTTACACCATAACTAATGTCGCTTCCAACGGCATACGGTGTTCTCAAGTAACAAATCATCCATTCAAGCAGAGATCAAAACCAATGATGTTACTAATTAGACTCCTTCATCCTTTCTGTAATTGTTTCATGAGTCTACAAACCTTCCAACAATTCCTTCACATCATTTTGACCCTAAAGGAGGAGGTAAAAGTTCCTCCAAAATAAAATTTTAAAAATGAATACCCCCAGTTTCAGTTTCATGAACAAACAGAATAGTCCAGTACCCTGAAAACTCCAATCCAGTCCCATACGGTCGGCTGTACATCTCCAGAAAGAGCGTATGAGGCCGAATTCTCTTCATCTACGTACCACAGGTCAACGGGCAAGAACTCGACAACACGCTCGTAGTAATCGCTGAAAACCTGCGACAGCACAATCTTAGTAATTCACAAGCAACTCTGGAATGTGATGGACAAATACAGTTCTGAAGACGGCTGTCTTCTAGGTTGTTGCGCAGCGTAGTGCTATTAGTTTACTGATCTATCAGAGATGTTTACTGCTTCCATCAACAGGGTTATGATTGTCTACATGACACAACAACCAAGAAGACAGCCATCTTCACATTTTCCGCTGTAAAAACCTGAAACGTTACCTTGATTATAAATTCCCCAGCAACCGGTTTGTGGTCGCTCTGAACATATTCCTCCACGCTTCTGTACGAGATTTGTTCTGCTTGTAGCGTTAAGTTCTCATACACATTAGCATTCACTCTGTACAGAATTCGATCTGTCCAAGAGGGACGGCGTCTGCAACAAGCAGTTAACGCTGAGCTTCATAAATAGAGGGAAGAAATTTTAAGCGAAGACAGAATGATGTGATTATTACAAAATTGAAGAATCCATGGAAGATGGCACACAGTTAACGGTTCCAATACAACCTTCGAAGGAAGAAACATTCTGGGAAATCTGGGCACAGACAAGACCAATATTAAAATGAATGTGTCTGGTGACTATGTTAACTGGATTAAAGTCAGTGAAGACATTTTTCAATAAAGTGTTACTTAACACGAATCTTCAGGTTCTATTACAACAGGGAATTTCATGAACAACGGAAGAAATGCGGTGTTACCGAGCGACTTACTTGAGATCATATTTTGATGAATGGAATTCAAACTTGTATGTGGGAGGGAAAGGAGGCATGTGCTCTGACAGTTCACTGAAGGCTTCGCCATTTGACATCACTTGTCGAAGCTGATCTTTATCCAGTAGCGTTGTCAGCTCTCCCTTCTTAATAAGGCAGTCTATTTCTTCAGCACGATAACCGTCTACAAGTCGAAAGTTCATGTCACCGATCCAGAACACATAGCTGAAACAAATACATTTCACTTTGAATTTATTTATGGTGTGCTGTAGTGATTCCGTTTCATATTCAGCAGATCTGGACTTCAGATCTTGACCATAAAATCAGATATGTAGACTGAGGCTTTAGTAAGTTTTCTTCATTCTCATCAGTCAAATGCTATGACAATACACCTTGAAAAGAATATGACTGTTTCCTGCCCAGTCCTCTCCGACCCCTCATATATTATCAACCTCTCAGCTATTCAATGCTAAATATGTTAAGTAGTGACACAACTTTGTTAAATAATCCAAGAACTAAGCATCACTTTGCTCATAAAAACCAGAAACAAATGTCTTCAAATTCTAAGACCACTTCAGTCTTGAACATGGAAACAGTTATGTTAATCTACCAACAAGTACAACCCAGAAGATCAACACTGACATCTTCACTGCCATGATAACTTCAGATCTTTGTGCAGACTACCATCTGTACCGTAAAATATGAGACGGAGTAACAGCTATTGGGAAAATCCTTTGCTGTTTCACCAGTCCACAACTTGGCAAATTTGCAAGTTACGGTTTTTTTACGCTTCATTGAATGCTACACAAGACGTGCAGTTGATACAGCATCATTAACAACCTAAAAACCAACCTAATAAAACACAAAGAAAGAGACAACAGAAGAACCTGGCATTTTGTCTCAATTAATTCTACGAGTCATCCCGGTAAGCAGATTAACTAACTCATGGAAAAAGATGTTGCTGGTTTCCCTGGCACGAAACAGCTGGCTCCTAATGATGTTGTTATAGTCTGTGACACGTTCCTGCAGCAGGTGATCGTGCGGGGTGAGGTGGCAGTTCACGAAGCATACGGAGCAGCCATATATACTCATTCGAATGGTAACTGCTCCCTTGTTTCCCTGTGTACAGAAACAGTGCATATAATAATTTCTTTACATCAACAGAATATATGATTTACCAAGAAACTTTGCATAATTCATATATCAGCACAGTAATCAATGTACCTGGAAAGGGAAGACAATACAAACATAATTCTGGCCATGAAAACTATTGGAAAGCAGTCACTTACAAAAACTGAAAGTGATGAGAAGATAATATTAAATCAAATCATAAAGAATTAGGTTGAATATGTTAACCAGACTAAAAACTTGCCAAGAAATGTGCCCAATGGTGGGTTTTTATACTAGGAATGCTGACCTAGGAGGACGGTACACCAAGCATATTCAAAAGTAAAGAAAAAGTTACAAGGAAGAGAGAGACTCAAATTTGGGAACATATCATTCAGGACAAATTAAGAGGAAAAGTGAAAGAGGAATGAAGATTAAAGATACTGCAAGAAAATGTCAACCAAGAGAAGGAAGAAGACCTAGAGAGAAACTCTGAAAAATCTCAAGACAGTGAAGATGGCTGTCTTCTGAGATGTAGCAACAAGTAGTGTAATAGACGTTTACTTGATGTTTCAAAGGCCCTCGTCACCCTGATGATGGAGACAGCAAGGAACTCTGAAACATTGGTAAACTTCGACCAGACAATATGACACTACAAACCATGAGGCAGCCATCTTCGTACTCACCACTGTAAGATTCTCAAATATGTACTATATTAAAGAGGATATTTAGAACATAACAAGCAGAAAAAGAATAGAAAGTAAAATTAAATATAATGCAGAAGAACACATAGACAAATCTGGGAAAATACCAATTAGGGCAAGGTGGAAAGATCCAGACTCCAGGCCAAAAACACAAAAATTGGACAATCCTTCGCATCACTTCTACGTTGTTACAAACATGAACAGAATGAAACAAAAATTTTAGATGACCAGTTTTACTGATTTCAAAATAACACAGCATCATACACATATATAAATGAACAAATTACCATATGTTATTGCAACAGGAACCAAAACACATAACTGACTCACTCTGTACGTACGTCTGCTGTAGAATGACGTAAACAAGGACAGGCAGCTTCATGCAACCAGTAGCAAATTAAAATAAGAAAGAGAGGCTTGCTCTTTATATATTTTTTTAAAAAATACACACCATCACATCTGTAATTCTGGTCTTTTCCATTTAATAAGACATAAAAGTTAATTTTTGTCTTCAATCGAGGTACTATTCCAAACGTTCATACTTTGTCACTAACTTTAGGAAATTCCTCCTATAAGAAATTGTCAAAATGCATAAAAAGAATTCAGGAGGTAAGACATACGACAAAGAAGTATTATGTACGTATTGACACGTTTCATCCGTCACACGCTTTTTTTCTGAATGACTGTAGTTTGATCATTGTCAGTGATAGTATATGACACACCTTATACTATTTTGATTATCTATCTCCATTTTGAAACTGCAACCACTGAAAATTAGCCTGTTTCTTTCAATTTACTAATACATTCATTGCATTATGTTTTTTTCTCCCCTTTTGAAAGAAACTTTGTGAACATGGTAATAATCATTTAAACTGAGTAAAAATAGGGAATTCTTAACCAGCTGAGTAACCTTTTACTTTAAAAGAAAGATCATGTACAAATAACTTACTTATTTTCATTAAACTGACAAGGCGAAGCTAAGCGATCTGAGGTCTCGATATTTTCAAGGAATTACAGATGTACTAAAAAAAACTGTGATAAAATGTCATTACCTAGGAGAATGAAGTCTTTATATGTACATACCCACATGCCACCCAGCCCTGTTCTTGTGTACTGAGTTTCTATATCACGCAGATGGAGTAAATGTTTCCTCAAACAAAATAAACTCAGCAACAAGCCTTGTAATCGAATGGTCTTCACCTTCACATAATCCCATTTTGCCAGAACATCCCTGTGGAAGAAACACCTTAAATGCTTAAATCTCTGAAGAGGGAGGATATTAATAATAATATAAGTTTGTAACCTACCTCTGCAAAACATTTCTGCCATCACAGATTTTCACTACCAGAAGGTTACCTGACATAACCTCAAACTTTTATACAGGTTCTATAATTACAACTTCAGATGCACAAACAAATACAAACTTTGTAGTTACAATGCTCTATATTTGCACTAAATTCTAAACAGGAAAATTCAGAAAGTATTCAACAAAACACTGATATTTAATCTGCTTATTTTTTTCCAGTTCACTCTCATCAAATGTGATGAACTACAATAGTGAATGGTTCCGTCACAAATACAAGAGGATAGTAAAATATTATAAGGATGACGAAAAATCAATTCTAACCTGTAAGCATTGGTCCACGGATCATCAAATATTGCGTCCATCAAAATATTCTGGGGTTGGGACTTCACTTCTTGTAGGCTAAAAAAAAAAATTATCAGCTCTCACTTAAGAAAGAAACACTTCAATACATCTTTATTACTCACAAAAATTTACATGAAATATTTCTACTTTTTGTTAACAGCATACACAATGAGTTTATCACTCATTCCTCCTGTAACATGAGAGCCTGGAAATCTTATTTATGATGCCTGATGTAATAAAGTTCTCCCACACAATACTGCCACGTGGTTAAACTACTTATCTACATCATAACCATGAAAGGGTTGACACCACATCTTACCCTATGGCATAAAAATCAGGAAGTCTTTCTTGGGTCCTTTGTTTTACCGAAGTCCCAAAACCAAGCATCTCTGCAAGATCTTCTTCAGGATGACGAGTGGCCACATTCCATGTGACCATATAGAGCCTTAAGAAGAAAGAAACAACCTGAATTCTATTCTATATAATCTGAGCTACTGACAGGATCATTAAATAAACCATAAATAAATAAATAAATAAAATACATCAAGTGTCCCATCAAAAGCCGTCAAATGACTCAAAATATATACCTGAAAATTAATTTATGCTATTTAAGTAACTTAATCCCTACAATAAGCCAAAATCAAAATGACTGGACAAAATTAAGTTAAAGGCTGCCTAAGTTACAATACAACTTTTAAATATGAAATTCTGGAGCTATTACATGTGGTCTGACAGATTGGAAAACAGTTAAAACTGACAAAACTAATGCATGCTTCCTTTATCAAAAATAACAGAAACATTCCAAATGCAATCCTTTCTTCTTGTGATTTATTTGATACGACAGGTTCCATGGCACAACAAAGAAATAAGGAATGTTTTGTGGTACACATGGAAGACACTGGCTACAGTTTTATTATTAAAAGTTACCATATGACAAGGGAAATGTTAGAAGAAAATCTGCTACATACCAAACATCCATGTTGATTTGGACAAAAATGGCAACTCATCCAGCAGGCTAGTCAATTGTAGGGATGGAGGCCCATCCTGGGAAAAATGTCAAGTCTTGTAATTTTTTTGACAGACCACTGATAACATTGGAACTGTCAAAGAATAACTCTGCTTAAATAAGAAATTGACATTCAATAATTATAAACTGAAATCTGCCTCTTCCATGTAAAACATTTTGGTACCAGTACAGACTGCAATGAAAGGCGCTCTAAGCCAACCAACATAACCAAACCAAATATAATCATGTAAGCAAATGAATGTGATAAAATGCCTGCTTGCAACATACAAAGATGTGGGACTCATACTGCAATCTGCATTTCAATTATCATTTCAGGTATAAATTCATCATGTCCACCAAAGGAAATAATCTAAGACAAACCTGATTAACAGAAGCTGAAGATGTACAAAATATAACTCTCAAATTCAGCCATTTCTACAAGTAATGACAATATTAAATCATTCTTTACTTGAAGAGATTAAGTTCCTTACAGACATCAAAACCCCACTGACAGAATGATATCTTAAACATATGCACATTAAGTTAATCATGCCACTAAAATAAACATAAATACTTACTATTTACTTCCATGGACAGTTTGGGAACATAATGGGTTAATATGCAAATATGATTATGGGTCCATGGTAGTTTGGATCCTGTAGAGGTTACATGGTTTGGGTACGTTTGATTTGACCTATGGAATTTTTATAAGATAAGGCTTGGTTAAGTCAATTCAAACTCCAGTTTATACTTTTACCATAGATATGCGATAAAAACACTTTCTAAGTCAGCAAAACTCCTGTAGATTGTTTCCAAAGTCCCTTCCTTTTAAGACCATGATTATAACTGATTGTCACTAGCGCAAATGTAACACACTTTCATAACATGAAACTCAAAACTACTTCGCAACAGGTAATACTATTGCGCTAAATCCTTCAAGGAAAATAAGCAAATGATGCAATCAATTCTTTACATGGCAGCGTACGCCAAAAACATATCTTAACCAAACTAAGAAAAAACTGACACGTCATGAATCTCCTCACCTTCATGTTTTCCAGATGATATTTACGATTTTCCAATGTTACATGAGGCAAACAATTTATTAGAAACTAAAAGTATTACAGTACCTTAAATTATCCATTTCTTTTCCTTCTAATTTCAAGCAGAGTGCATGGTAACAAGCCTATAGACATTTTTTATCTCAACTTCATCACTGCCATATACGCCACATACACAGATAATTTGTTTTATGTTGCAAATGAATTCGTATCTTTGCTTTAAACAAGTCATCTGATCTAGAAAATACTGACTTGAACCTCATTTCACAACCAACGTTCTCATTATCGATATTGCAATGTCACAAGTACGCACTATCATCGATTCTTGACTACAACTGCCATCTTTACATAGATGCAATAACCAGGAACAGGCTGATGTTGCCATCTACAGACAGCACCCGCGCAATGCTAAAGATAAGGGTAAAGAGTATGATACATGATGGCAATCAAGGTCTTGTCAGTGGAATATAGACCAGCGGTGGCTTTTCATAAATGACGAATCTTCATTAACCATAAAATCACAGAATTTTTTCACCGCCTTAAAAAATATATATTTTTCAAAATATCCCTGCATCACAGAATTGCTTAATTTTCAAACAATCCTTTCATCATTAAATTTTCAAATACATTTTTCCTCTGATATTTCTTAAATGCAGATGTCACAGTGTTACAGTACATGAGGTTACATCCAGAAAAATACTGATCATACAAATTATATTTATGAGATTTTACAATAAGAAACATACAATACATACATAAAAAAGGAAATAAGTTGCATAGTAAAAGATACTGCTGTGTGAACAATATATTAAATACGTATATATTAATATAATAAAAATGGCTGTTGACATTTGATTCTTGTATTCTTTAGCAGCCACATATAGTACACAATATTAAATCATAAAAATCATATGACAATCTGGTATAATTTAAATTATAATTACATTCTTACAAGAATAATTATTTATGTTGTCATACATAAAGTCTTAAGCATTTCCTTCTTGGTCTTCAAACTGATTCTTGTAAATACAGCGCATAATTAAATTGGTGGTTCTCAGATGTCATAAAAATGGAAGCACGTTACTCAAAGAGCTGTCACAAGTAATTCCAAAGTATATGGAAGCACGTTACTCAAAGAGCTGTCGCAAATAATTCCAAAGCAGAAGGAATTTGTAGGGTTCGTACACATCGGATACAGACGAATGAAACACTTTTTCTCATAAATGCAATAGAGGCAGTAACACAACGAAGTCCTTCAGCAATCAAACGTGTAACTATGAAGTTACAATGCAAAATTTTGTAAACTGTTCCTGTTTCCTTCACCAAAATTAATATGATAACTGGCACAATTTCATGCTGAAAGCTTCAAATCTTGAGAAGTAGTAATGTTTAAAGTACATTTCTTCCATATATCAGTAATTAACATTGATTTAATCCATTTTATTACTCATTAAGTCTTTGTGTTATTATAGCAGCCCAAATCATGAAGGTTGCATAAACAGAAATAAATATAATGATTCAAATATTTCTTATAGTATGAAAATAAATAAGAACAGAACATTAAATACTAAATATTATATATAAATTCACCTGTATGAAAAACTTCTAAATCATGATTACGAAGATTCAGTAGCGGTGATGTCTCATATGATTCAGAAACATATAAAAATCTTTTACACAGCCAATCAGCACATTTTCTAACAGACAGAACTACGCGTTATTTTGCTTAATAGCATTCTCAGGGGTGCTATAGGACATATTATCTTTGAAGCACATAATGTTTGAAAGTTGTCGTCCCCATTTTTTCCAGACATATTCCCTTACTCTGGGCTCCAGAACGAAGATACAGAATATGATGACTCCTTGAAATGTGTTGATAACATCAGTAATGTACCAGATGTAATCAGGCCCTCCTACAGACCACGACACAATCTCCATCACCCAGTTTATGCCCATCACGCCAAACAGGGACAAGCACATGCGAAACCTGAGGAACATATCGAACGGGCTAACTTTGGTGTAGTCTAGCAGAAGTTTACCAAAGTACCTCTGAGACATTGGTAAACTTTTACTGGACCTCACAGCGCTACAGTGAGACCTGGAAGAACTAATGCAAAAATTACAAAGTTATATCAACAGATGTCTAAGGTTTCTTCTAAAAAAATTAGATGGTCTGAAAATATTTCAAATCAAAAATTGTGGAGAATTTCCAATCAAACGAAAATACAACAACAGATCAAGGAAAGGAATGGAAGAGGACGAGGGCATTTCGAAGCAAGTGTTGGACTGGAACCCCCAAGGCGCATGGAAAAGAGGAAGACCGAGGATCACGTGGCGGAGATCTACTGAAAAGGAAGCGAGGAGTTGGTAGGAAATAAAGGCACTCGAGTGAGGTGGAGGAGCTTTATATCAGCCCTATGATCCCAAGAGGAATAAAATGAATTAACTAACTAACTAACACAGCGCTACAACCCAGTGTACGACCATCTTAGCCATCTTCATATTTGCTGACATATCTACAGATGTTAGGGATACAGCAATGATCCATAAGTTATTTATTGACTAGCTACATGACTATTAGCTTTTCAAGAAGGATTCTAGTCCATGGAGTTAGTTATAAATCACAAAATAATATAAATAAAACCTTTCTGCTGGCCACTTACATGCATATAAGCATTTGATAAAAAAGTATTCTTAATTTTATGCATTGCATATGGAATAACTCAAACACAGTCTCTAAAGGCGTGTTAAAATAATATTCCTTAGTTAAAGATTGTTTCTGTGCAAAACTCACAATTGACGTGGCCTGTGCTTGGGCGCCTTCCATTCAAAGCTGAAAACCTTATAGGCTGTAAGGATGAACAGTAAGATATTGACGCAGATGAGTAACGCCACAGGACCGTAGAAATAATGCAGTTCTGCATCCTCACCTGAAAATGCATTCAAACATGCGCTTTCACAGCTTCGTGACAAGAATTTCCTCTGTTCAGTCTTTTAACACTAGAAGTTTTCAAAATTTCATTCCGACCATACCCAGAATTCCAACACTCTACATAAGCCACATTTTTTCTAATATTTTTATTTATTAACCTGTAAAGAAATTTAGAATCACTATGATCTGTTCTATAAACACTAGTTTCATTTCCTCAAAATTTTCTTTATGATGTGTCAAGATTTTTGCAGCAATCACGAGTCATGATCCACGCTGCAGGCTCGACTAGTAATTGCTGTTGTCATTTGCAAATATTTTAACATTTTCCACGGTGAACACAACATCCCACTTAAAAGCACCGACAGCTAGTGTATCTTATCATTTTGGTAATACTTTTACGAAAGAAATTACATGAGATTCGAGGTTCTCCATGTTAATAACATAACAGAATAAGATTCTTTCAATAAAAATCAGCAGTACGATGTCCTAGAAATACATCACAGTAACTGAATCGAAGAATAATTTATACAAGTGCATATATTTCCTTTAAAAAAATAGTTTTGTAGTTTACGAGTTTTGATAAGTGAAATGAAGTCAAGGTAAATACTTACTGCTAAACCAGCATTTCTTCTCGCCAAAGTTCGGCTTGAGGTACGATGATGGGATCGTAGGCATCAAATCCATAGACACTGAAAAAACCATAAACAGTAATGGGACGAACCAAGCGTACAGAGAGTAAAAAATGAAAACGCTACGCTCGGTTGCTTTGGGCATGTTCACTCTGCCGTCCTTGAGTCGCTTGTAGCAGATGTAGTCATTTTCAGATGAATCATTGGAACATTTCTGCAATCTGACATTGGCGCTGTAAACAAACACGCAGAAACAACGCATAAAATTAATATCCTTCAACGGAGTTGGCCGTACATGAAGGCTTCAAACAATTTGTAAATATATCAAGCATGAAATATGTCTAATGAAGGAGAAAATTACCAGATTATAAAAGCAATTAATCCATCAAAGTCTATGTCATAAAACTAATTCAGTATGCAGCATTAATTTCAAGGCGTAATAAAAATCTAAATTTAAAAACTCTTCCAGGACGAACGTTATCGTACTCCAGAGAAACGTGGGCCATAAAGTTGTGTAAGAAAGAAAATAGTTATGTATGGCTTATGTTTGCTGTTTAGATGCAATTTTCTATATGCAGTATTTTATGAAATCATTAATATGGTAATTTAACCCTAATTTAAAATAGCCCAACTATGTCACACGCATCCATACAATTTCACTATGGACAATGTGCCTCATTTAAGATACAACAGTAATTCAGTAGTAGTTTCACTGTGTTATGTTTCTGTACCAGCCTGATGATGTGTGTTTTGTAGTTGAAGTGACAGTGTTTTAGACGTTCATCATTGTAATAACAGCTATATTGGTGGCATTTCATGTCAATATTGTTGTATGTTTATTTTTATTTATTTAGTTTTCTGTCTGAGGACAGGTCCATATGACCAGGATCCTTCCATCCTTTTCTCGGATTGGGACCTGTTCATATACGTTCTTGGCGGATGATCCAGAAGTGGTTTGCCATTGCCTTCTTCTGTGTGTGAATGGGGTAATTGTTGGGATGCCACGGAGGAAAACTCCGTGTTGCCTAGACCACGGCCTTGCCCAACACAAGTTATAAATTCGGGCACCGCCGGGAATCGAACCCGGGACCCCCAGGATTATATGGACGCTTAATGCCGTGTTGCAAGTTCTTGGGAACAAAGATAATTAATGATGGAAATCACATTATAATCAACTTCGTAATCAAATGAAAGACGTTACAATTCGATGGACGTGTGACTTGGATGAAGAAACAACACGGAATTTCAATAAGGAAGAGTTTTGAAAAGCACCTACTTGCGAAACCACGATATAGATATGATAATGCTATTAAAATGGAACTTAAGAAAACAGATATAAGTAACAATTGCTAGGTTAGACTTCTGGCAGCAGTCATAAACATCTGATAAGCACAGCATCCATAACGTCGTCGGTGAGTCAGTTATATTTTAAGAACCCAGTCGTGATATCACAGATAATTGAATAATCATGCATTAATCTTTGAATAAACAAGACGGCAGACATTTGGTCCTCCTTAGTTCGTACTTCGGCACACTGCTCGCTATAATAAAGTGCTGGGAATTTAAAACTGTACTTGGCTACAAGCACAGAATTTTAAAATACTATCCTGAACGATAATTCAAATATTTACAAAATTTACGCTCTTGTATGTCTGCATTTTACTGTGCCTCAAATCAGCATTTTTTTACGATACTGTTTCTTGCTAGTTCCCACAAATACATAACAGACGTAACAGATGACGTCTGTGAGGAGGGAACATAAGACAACCGTGAAACAAAAATACAATAAATGTATTTGATAACTTACATAAAATAATTTCCAGGTGTCCAAATTAATTAAAATTTTGTGCAGTACTTGTCCTCTAAAGCAGTGGTATTCAACCTGGCGTACGCGTACCCCCGAGGGCACACGAAGACATCTTAGGGGGTACGTGAAATTTTAAAAAAATATATATATATATTATTTTATGATAAACACTGAATAATCAGTAATGTAATTTATTTAATTTATTTTAGATGTAGATTATATAATATGTATAATTTGAATTATACACCAACAACTTTTGGGGTACAAAGTTGAAGAGAAATTATATCTGGGGGTACGCGAACAAGAAAGGTTGAATACCACTGACTAAAGGAATCAGACTTTCACAATTATGTATGAGTAATCAGATGAAGTATAGTGTCAATGTATTATCATTTCTTCGTGATGTATTCTAAATATCAATTACTTCATCAACATACATTCTGCTGTCTTAGATAAGATTACTACATCATTATTTCATCAGTGCGAAATGCAAAATTATTTCACCGGACAAAAGTTTATGTTGTGTTTATTTCTTTTCTAGAGTGCAATTAAACCGGTTCAACACCAGACTGTCCAGAAAGTTTAATGACGGACTTGGTGCCAACAGATCACCAACGTATAAATATTCTTTCACTGAAGAATTTAAACATTTTTGCTACACTACATACACATCCATCTAGAGCTCTGAAACTAATGAACAGATTTTGATGAAATTTCGTACTGGAGGCTTATAATAAAAGTTACTGAATGAGTTTCATTTTGATCTGCATTGGTCCATAACAACTTGTATCAAATATAAAAATCAAATTAATCTTAACATCTCGTCAATAAATCATCACACAAAATAAAAGATATACGACGTATTATTCCACAATCGGCACCTTTTTCTTTTTTGCCAATGGGAATAGCCCAGGCATTATTACTAATATTTTATACAATACCATAACAAACGGTATATATTGCATATGCACACTGCCACCCAGATAAAAACTTGGAGCTAGAAAAGATATGAGTTGATGGGTTTCACTGTTCTCTCAAGTTTCCACAAAAAACTCTACTTGTCGTAGGTAAACCTGAGCCGACAGGGGCCAGAATAAAATTCCAGGAACGAAGCAGTTTGACGTTTTCAACGACGCGGACGTCAGTACTAGTTTATAGCGCGTGTATCACGACAGTCAGTGGCGTGGAAGCACAGGATGAACGAGGAAGTCGTGTGATGGCGTTGTCTGAATAAGAAATAACCACCACGAACAATCACATGGTGCTGCTAACTCCATTGACCAGAGTTCTTATTCAAAACGTAAAGTCGCTAAGTGCTCCAGAACTGCCTTCAGGGAATCAAGAAATTTATCACAACAGCACGCTACTGGACCATCTTTTTTTATTTATTTAGTGTTCTGTCTGAGGACAGGTCCATATGACCAGGATCCTTCCATCCTTTTCTCGGATTGGGACCTGTTCATATACGTTCTTGGCAGATGCTCCAGAAGTGGTTTGCCATTGCCTTCTTCTGTGTGTGAATGGAGTAATTGTTGGGATGCCACGGAGAAACCGGGGAAGCCCCCGGAGGAAAACTCCGTGATACCTAGATCACGGCCTTGCCCAACACAAGTTATAAATCTGAGCACCATCGGGAATCGAACCCAAGACCCCAGGATTACAAGGCCAGCGTTCTAACCGCTAGACCACCGATGCAGCAGAATAACTGTAGTGGTATTAAATATGTTGATTTATTATTTTTAAAGACGTTCATCGAGGTTCCCCTTAACACTGCTAAAACACAAATATAAACCAGGCAGAAGGTAATAGTGTTTCTAAACAAGATCTCGCGCTTTAGGAATTAAATACTTACAGCACATTCCACGTAGTGTCGAAACAGAGGACGTTCAGCCAAAAAAAGCAGGCCACGAACGAAAACTGGATCACAAAGGCTGCAATAACATAACATCGTTAATTAGTTCCACAAAACAATCAGCATCCATCTGAGATCTGATAGTGTCACAGCAGTAAAGATGGCGATCTTTTGGGTTCTGATGCCATTTCGTATTGTGGGTTAGTAACATTTCAAAATATATATCGCCTCCACTTTCAGGGTTGATATCAACCTTAAACCGTGAAGCTGGAGTTGATACGTTGATTTTCTAAATAAAAATATCTATCAAGAGATTTACAAATAAACGCATAAATATATGGACGGATTGTTAAGAAATTACAGCTTGTAAAGTTCGTTCATTCTCGAAAGCGCAGACGTCCATAACACTTTGATAAGGCTACGTACGAAAAAATTTGTAAAAGCTGCGAAGAGATGTCTGACAAGGAACGTTGAGAACCTCCACCAAAATTTACTGCAGTTTCGTGAGCGTTCGCTCTGAGTCGCGATAGAATAGCGAGGCGTGGGCTCTTTCGTCAACCCATTTCGTCCCTTCCTCCCAGTCTAATGGCATTAATTCTTCAGGCAACACAGGACAGTGGTTAGGAATTTTGATTTTCCCCTTCGATTCTCCTTCGAAAACTGATTAATCCATAAATAAAATATATAATTTAATTCAGGTCTATACACAAACTTTATTTACAGATGTTAAAATTTAAAATTTGCGCTATTCATCGTTACAACGATGTTACAATACTGCGCCTTCATTTACTACATGTTTCGATGCGAAGCATCATCTTCAGGTTTTTCCTTTAAAACTACTTTATATTACAATGCAAGTTTTTTCAATTTATTCATCTGTTTTGTACATTATTATAGTATGTGTTCTGTTGATCTTCTTATTTTATGTATCTTATGTTTGTTTTTCATTATTCTGTGAATAAAATTAATAAACATATGAGTTATTTATTTATATGTAAATAAGTTTGGAATATTGTTCTATATTTGTAAAAGTAAGAACACAATAACATACCATGAATCGTGATGTACGGTGTATCTACGTCTGAGCAGGTTGACTGTCTGAAGATGATGCTTCGCATCGAAACATGTAGTAAATGAAGGCGCAGTATTGTAACATCGTTGTAACGATGAATAGCGCAAATTTTAAATTTTAACATCTGTAAATAAAGTTTGTGTATAGACCTGAATTATATTATATATTTTAATTTAAATATAATATCGGTTTATTCTGGGTCTTGAAAGCAAACTATAAATGCATTCTAGTGTCAAAATAGTGGGTTACTGATCGTTAGAACGCAGCTGTAGGTCCAATACAGCAGTTGTCATTTATATGGAATTATTCCGAATGCTGCTAACGTAATTGAGGTTATGTCCATGTCAGCTGTAAGAGGACACTACTTAGAAATTGTAAAAACATTATAATGGAATTTCCGAGAAAAGAGACTGAAGAATTCTCTGCAGATAATAAGTAGGCCTACCAGTAAATTAGAAGTGATGTCAGTCAAATGAGAGAATTTACTAGCAAAGAGAGAGTTGAACTCGGCACTATCGTTTTAAACCCTCGCTTTCAATACTCGATAACTCCCTGACACAAGGTCTTTCTTGAGCACGTCATAATTATTCAGATTATCAAAATGTTCGTTGTATTTATTAAAGCAGAAATTTCACTCTCATGTTCATGGGTTGTCAACATACGGACAGATATGTTACTAATTTTTTAACTTAATATTAATGCCGATGATAGTGACCAAACCCGAGACTTCCTTTAGGTTCGCGTTACGCTCTAGCGTGAGCGAAAAACGCGTTATGGGCCCGTCCAAGCCTGCCTGGTGCTTATGCCCTATGGGGGTATTTAACCCGGAAAACTTACATTTTACGACAGGCTTTTACAGTCAATAGCGAGTGGCACTTCTACGTAAAGAAAATAAATGAGCTCTAGTAACAAACAGATAAGTAATTTCGCGGGCCTAGTTAAAAGTAGTCTCGGGCCGGATGTGGTCCGCGGGGCGCCAGTTGTACCACAATCTTATAGATAATTCGCAACCTTTGCTATTAAATTAAACTTGTGTTTGTGTTTGACAAATGACAAGATGACTGGAAAAACAGATTACAGTTTATTCGCGTCTCAACCGAATTGTTTTCTTACAGGAGACGATTACGAACCAGCTCTGTCAATACAACAACTAGAAACTTAAATGTCTGATTTTTTATGTTCTGTTGTCTTTATAAATGACAGCTAAATGTTGCCTTCTAGTGTCTCATACGCATAAAATATTTATCTGCTTTATTTCTATCTCAAATTACTTTGGTTTCGTCTAGTACGAGGCGCGTCCACAAAGTAAGTTTCCCACTCGTCCCACAGCTAGCAAACCTTATATTGCGCGAAGCGACTGTGCGTACGTGATAGAGCAATGACGTAGCATGGCGCATGCACTAACGGC